GGCTGATTTGGCCTAAAATGCACTCGCCATGGGCTGCCAGAGTCTCAGGGTGCGTGCACACATCAACAGAGCGTCTGACTTGGAGAATGCTGCTCAGCTTTTCCAACCCTTCCTGAACTAGGGCCGCGAGTGTCGGGGGCCCTTTGGTGTTTGTTTTTCGCAGAACCCAGCTCATCACAGTCCAGGTCTGAGGCTTCTCGAAGTCTGTGCCGTAGCAGTTTTCTCCTCCACTGCATGCAGAAGGCAGCCACTTCCAATTCCTCTGAATTTGGGGAAGGTTGTCTCAAACCCTGGAGGAGAGAAATGTAATTAAGTAGTGAGGGAGGCTGTGCACTCTCCCGGTGTCCGCTGACTGGAGCTTCTAGGGGATTCGTCTGTGTGAGGCTGGGGCTGGTTTTCTGATGTTCTGGCCCTAATGTAATAGAGAGCAAGGAGAGTACTTGGAGAGGTCCTCTGAATGGGAGCCCACTCATTCTTAAAGGAGAAACACAGCAGAGCAAAGGAGAATGTCCTGACAAGGTAGTCAATTAAAAAAAATTCTCTAACCCAAATTCTGCCTCCTTCTGGACCAACTATCCCTAGGTCTTTGGCCAGTGGCCACAGCAGAGCCAGGATGCTGGTGTACACTGCAAGCACTCAGCCTCACTCCCAGGTTCTCCTGCACTCAGATGGCCTGGGGATTGGGACACGGGGACCGGTCCCACCTCGGGTGGTGCTCCAGGATCAGGGGGAGGCTGCGGCCACGCTGGCGTGCAATGGAAGAGACACTGATCTGCAGGGCCCCGTCCTGAGCCTTCCTCTCAGCCTTCTTTACACTCAAAAGATTCTGGAACTTGTAGCTAAAATATGCGTGCTTTTCAAACGCTTTGCACCGTGTGTGCCTATTCCACGTACTCTCTGAATTTAACTGGTACAAAGTTTCTCTAAGCTTGAAATGAAAATTCTCATTCTATTTATTTAGCGCCTCCATGCACTTGCCCACTATTCTAGTAGGTCTGTGGCTTCGTGAAGTATACGCTCTAATCAAAGAGCCAGACAAACACATAAAAGCGAGGACAAGAGGCGGACAAGTGTATAACTACAAGGTGTGGTAAGTGCTACTGAGGACTCCTACGAGGTGTGAAAACAGCAGAAACTTGTGTGATTTCATTTAGATATAGTGCGGGTGTTTCATCCCTTCTGAGGAGGTGGAATCCAGGTTTCCATCTAAAAAGATACGAAGGAACCAGACACGGGACCATTTGGTAGAAGTGGAGGGGCAGGGACCCATCCCGCGCTGGTAGAACAGCACATGTGAGGGCCCTTGGCCGGGGATTCTTTTAGACACCCAAATATTTCCCATTTCCTGTCTGCACTAGGGACATAGAAATCGGGTGACAGGTTTGGGAAAGACGTGAAGCTGAATTTAATAGCTGAGAAGCAGGGGGAAGGGTCTAGATCAAATGGTAGGGCACATGCTTAGCATAAAGAAGGTCCTGAGTTCAATCCTCAGTACCTCCTCTAAAAACAAATAAACCTAATTACCTACCCCCTCTGCCAAAATAAAATAATTAAACAATACAATAATAAATAAAAATTTTTTTTTAAATCTGAGAAGCAGGTGGAGTTTTCTCACGAATGTCTGTAATTTAACCGTGTTCCTCTCACACCGTGGCCCGGGCCTCGGTCCTGTGCGTGCCTACTCTATGCCAACGTCTACTCTGGGGCTCAGCCCTCACCCGGAGACTGGCGGCTTCTGCGGCCCTCACGGTCTTGGAGACAGCACGGAGGAGCTGCTGTGCACCTGCCACCAGGAGCTCGTCGGAGGACCTGCTTCTTGCCAGGGAGGCCTTCACACTTGGGAGTTGATGGGAGGAAAGCAGTTAACATCACCCCAGGTAAGAGGTGTGACCTCAGATAAACAAATACCAGAAGGTTTTACAACGTGAGCCTTTTCCACGAAGCCGGGGGGCCTCTGTGGAGACTCTTCAGAGAAACAACGTCCTAAAGGTATAATGTAACATTTTAATATAAAACTTGTATTTTGATTCTAAGAAAGTATGACTCATATAGTATCTACAAATTAACAAGAAATATAGTTTTAATAAAAATAACTAGAGAGAATAAATGCCCACATCCATATATCATGAGAGGGAATACGAAATTTTGTGTCAAATTGCATTCAGGACTTAAAGTAGAAGTTCCAATAAAAGATTAGACTGGCTGTTTCCCAGCTGAATTACACACCTCAGTAACACCTGCTTCAAGCTGAGTGTCACTGAATTTAGTGAGACAGGTTGTTTTTCACTGATGAAAATGAAGATGCTGTGACACTGCAGTGACTAACTTTGGTAAAATCTCAGGACGTCCAGATCCTTTGAGGACTGAGAGCTTGGTAAACGCACCGGCGTTAATCATGCCTTTTATTTTCTGTATTTCTGATGCACTGATATCTTAGGACCATCTGACCTTGGAAAGGCTGCCCCTCCCAGGATTAGCCTACTCCTAGAGATAGACTTGCCTGCAAGCGCACTTACACATGCAAACCAACCAGTCCAAATCCACACCCCCAACCACCCCCTTTATGGAGCTCTTACACTCTGGGCCACTATTTCCCTGCCCCTAATCACCCCCAGGGCCAGGTACCACCCAACTAGAGGTCATCTCTATACTCCAGAACCCAAATTCAAATCAGCCTATCCTAAACCCATTCAGCCTACTTCCCCTGCCTTGACATTTCTTCCCACAAAAACCCCACTAAAGGGTTTGTCCCCTCGCTCCTTCTGCTTTTCCCCCAACCCTGGTGCTTCCCTGTGCGGTCTTGCGTGACATGACTCCTCTTTCTAAGGGTCCTAGAGGGGTCTTCCTCCTTGCCTTCTTCCTTCTTCCTTGTCATTTCCATGTCTGCGTGTCCTACCAAACCTGATTTAAGCAAATCCTAAGTACCCTTGCAACAATACCCATATTTGAAAGGTTAAACTTAGCTGCAGTTCCTGTATATTGAGTAGAAAAAATTGGGTAGCTAATCTTGAGATGATTGTGTGCCTGAAATATTATTTCCTAGAGAACAGGAAACAGGCACGTGCATTTGGTTTAAAAAGAATTTATATACCGTGGTCTTGGTGATATTATTTTTATGCCTCACATCATTGATAATAGCCTTAACTACCAAGCTTTCCCATTATATAAGAATATTACTAACAATATTACTGATGAATATGCCACTGCAAGTAGTAAGGGACGGGGCTGGAAATGAAACCATCCTATACTTAGATCATAATGTTCTATACTATCAATGTAAAAGCTATTCTATGGGAACAGTTAACAAAAACTGCTCAACTCCAGAGTTTGGGCATGTTAAATGAATTCATCTTAACATACACTCTGTGCTGGCATAGCCTTTCTTAGGCAGGTGACATTTAAAGTACTTTCACTTTGCAATTAATATATTTTTAATTACAACTGGCTTGTTAGATATGAAGAGTATAAAAACAAATAGGGAGCTAACGGTGAAAATATAAACATGATTTATAAAGTAGCGATCAGTCACCTGCGTTTGTATATTAACCCCGAAGTGTCGTGAGCCCAGCAGCACGACTGGGGTAAGGGCACAGGGTTGTAGACGGAGGAGGGCCCAGTGATGAAGGGCAGCCTGAGATGTTATTTGATTCTTAAAAATTCCTTATGGTTACTTTAAAGTCACACCTACTCAGGAACCAATTCTCCAAGTTAAATCTTTTTTCTTTCTTAAGTGTATTATCAAATATGATATATTTGTGATACAATGATAAATGACAGTAGCTTAAATGTGTTTTTTCGTGCTGTCTAAGAATTCTCTACATTTTCAACATTTGACATTCCTCAAATAAATGTTGACTCATGGGGTTTAAAACATTCAAAGGGGTGTACAGATGAAGCTATTACACTCCCCCACTCTAAGCCCTCCCTCTGGGTCTTGAGAAAGCAGAAGACAGCAGTCTCCCCCAAAGCCGCCTCCCACCTGGAGATGATGTGAAGCTGGCTGCTCATTGTTTGAATCTGCTCTACCACACAGGAGCTCCTGGGAGCATCTTTGGTCCACACAGTTCTTAGCAAGGATGCAGATAAGTTTGGCGAAGTTTTGTCCATAAGTCGCAGTTTTCCTAGCAGAGGTAATGAGCTGATCTTTGGTCTATACCAAAAGACAGGAAAGAGTTAGAAGCAGGTAACAACGCCCTCACAGGTCTTCCCTGAGACATCGGTGCCAAATTGCAAATGTCCAAAAGTTGCTTGGCACAACTTATTTCAGCCCCAGGGTGAACATATTTTAGCTTAGTCTAAAACCAGGATCTCCTGAGCTTCCTCCAAAGGCTTCAAGACCAGCCACTGCTGGGTTAGTATGAAGCTTATTCTCCTGGGAAGCACGGAATGAGGTGGTCCAGGCCCATGCATCTGTGGGGGCTGCTGAAGGGAAGACAGCCCAACCTCCTGGTCTTGAGGTAGACTTTCTCCACAAAAGCTGAGGCCTGCACTGACTCAGAGTTTTCAGCAGGCCCAGGGCAGAAATGAGGCCCCTAAGAAGGGCCAGGTGAGGGGAACATGCAGGCTGGAGGACGTCTTGGCTTGACCAGAGGGGCCTACAGTTACATGGAGAGCTTCCTGGAGGGGAACTGATAATTAAGGAGTTGCTGACAGAAGCCATCTCTTAGTTAGCTGATTTGAAATTTTAATCATTCTGGATCTTATTTGTCTTCATTTGAGAAGAGAAATTTGGACAAGATTGGCAGCTTCCTTTTCTTTCCTCTTCTTTTTTTTTTTTTAAGCAACAGAACTCTTTATTCAAATAAAATCTTCATCATGGTAAATGTGGAGGCAACCAGTACAAGTAAAAGATGGGCTGCTTCAGTGGATGGGGGACCCAAACCAGAAACTACACCTGCTCGTCTGGGATGAGCAGGTCGGTGGCCCTTCAGCAGGCCACAGGAAAGTAGACACTGGCTGGAAAAGGAAAACCCAGATGATGCCACGGGTCCTGCCATTGCAGCCACTGTGTAGACAGGGGGGACCCCTCCTCTCCAGATTTGGTTCAGATGTCAAGATGGATGATGCCACCACGCATGAACCAAGAAGGTATGAAAAGGTGTATTACTCACATAATGAGGCTTTCCAGAGAGAGTGGGCAAGCTCCTAACCAAGCCTGGAAAGGCTCTGAAAAGGCACGCGAGAACAAGGAAGGGGCGTGGGCTTGGCTTTCGTTGTGGGCGGGGGATGGGGCCGGGGTGAGGGTTTCCACTCATCAGCCAGGGCTCGGGTGGTTTGAACTTCCCACTGGCACCAACAGAGGCCATGCCTGGGCTCTTTTATTGACTTGCCCAGATGTGGAGCAAGCGAGGAAGAAGGAGGAGTGGGTGGGACTTGAAAGCTGCCAGCAAACAGCAAAAATGAAGTGACCCTGCATTGTACCTGCCCTGTTGAGGGGCTCCTGAATGCCATGAGGACTGGACACTAACTTAACGGACAGAACTTAATTTTGTTTGCCCCACTCTTTTCGTAGTGGCTGGCCCTGGTGGGGAACCACTTCCCAGCTCCCTCCCCTCCGTGTGTCATGCTGTCTCAGCTCCTCCTGGAAGGGAAAAATCAATGCTAATAAATCTGTGCTAAAGGCTTGGTTTATTAGAGGTATTTGCAATTCCAGGTAAGAAAGGAGTGGGTACAGGCTTGTCCAATATCTAATTCAAGCAGTTCCAAGCTCCAGGGCAGACCATGGAGCCAATGGCACCCCGCAGACCTACAGCAGAAGGAGTTTTCTAAATGGCTCCTGGTGCCAGGCTGCCTCTCCCTTCTGGTCCCCACACTCAGTAATGGACTTGTTTTATTTTTTTCAATGTTGGTGTGTTGGTGTTAAGCAATGCCTAACTACACCGCATCAAGAAGAGGGCTAAAGAGAGTTAGAACAGGAGACATGCGATTGAAGTTGGTCCCCCCAAAGCCGGTGGAAACCGGCCTCCTCCTCCCCTTCCAGGCTGTGCTGGCCCTGAATGGCCATCTCTCAGGAGCCTGTAGCCCCGTTACCTCTATTTTGGGGAGTTTTTAAAGACATAAATGGCTCCCCTTCAGTTCATCCTCCGGGGTATGAATGAGTCCTTGATTTTGCTAAATTGCAGCTTCTGGCAAATTTCCTTCGCTGACGGAATAAGGCAAAGCCTTACCAGTAAGCCCAAAGGAGGACGGGAAGAGAGAAATGAAGTGCGCCTTACAGTACACCCGGAGAGAGGGGGAAGACAGCGCCTGAAAATGTGCTTGACGGCCTCCGAGAGCGGTCGCTCCTTCCTGGGAGCTGCCCGGCTGTCCTGGCTTCTGCAGGGCAGCAGCTGGGAGCCCTGTTTCCCCACCACCCACGGAAGGCCCAGTACCAAGATGCGTCCTCTTCTCCTCAAACTCTGAGCCATCAGGAGCACCTCCTCGGCCACCTGCTGGGTAACCTGGGAGATTCTGTTCCCCCCGCCCACGCGGCCATCCTCCGGGAGAGGCGGGTCCCGCTCGGCGTGCAGCCGGGCTGGACAGCAGGGGGCGCTGCAAGGGGTGCCGTTTTGCTGCGGCTGCAAGAGGAAGACAGGGTGGAACTGCTGAAATTCCGGATGCTCAGACCTTCTAGCCACAGTGGGGATGCACACGATCTCTTTATCATTTTTAAAAGAAGAGTAGGAATCAAGAGGGTTTCCTGATCCCCACGTGCCGGCAGCTCTAGGCGACATTCTCCAAACACGCAGGAAAACAGCGAGAAGAGGAAACCACGAATCCCCGAACCCCCGTTACTCTGCGCTCCGTTCACCCCCAATTTGCATAAACTGAAACCCAGCGGACTCAGATCCCAGTATGGTTAAAATACCACATCTTCTTTCCCTTGGTGAATTTTCAGGCCTTACCTGGAAGAGAAGAGAATCAACAGCTTCTTGAAAAAATTCAGGAATCCTTGAAACAATTATTCTACATGAAAAGACAATTCTCTTATGAAAAATTACTTTTTTCTCCCATTAACTTGCTTGTTGTTTTCTAGTGAGAAAAACAGTAGCTTCTGCCATCCAGAAGTGGGTGAGGGCACGTTATCCTTTTCTGGACCCTGGGTGGGGCCTCCGCTAAGCCTTTTCCAAACTCTGGAATGGAGATCAGTTGTTCTGCACTTGGAGGCAAACCCAGTAACAGAGCGTCAAGAGTGACCTTGATGGTCTCCCGGCCTCGCGAGATCCTGGGCTCCTGAAGGCAGAGGCTGGGCCCTGGATGCTGGTAGGAGGGAGAACGCCCGTGGGTGGAACCTCTGGGCCTTCCCACCCCTACTTCTCCCCCGAGACCCCAGTGTAGCACAGTGATGCCTCAGAGGGACATAATATAGCTGCTGGAAAAGTACGAGCGTGATAGCAAATTCTAAGTTCACGAATCTATTTGGTCTGAGGCCGTTATTTCACCAGGAGAGGAATGGAAATCAAAGGACAACTCCTCCAGGTGCGTGTCCCTTCCACCCCGCCTTGTGGGCGGGCTCTGTTCAGTCTTTGTTCTCAAGCACATGGGAAGGGCGCTGCACTAATGACATAGGACCAGGAGACCAGTCCGCCAAGGACGGGGTTGGGTGAATCGCATCCTTTGGCTGTAGCTGTAGAGCTCAGGCCATGAAATTGCCGAGTGGCAGACGAGGGCCAGGAGACTGCGGAGGTTGGGGTCCAGGTGACCTGCCCCGGGGTGTGGGTGCCCCACATCCGGGCACTTGGCCGCCAGCTTGGCCCAGGAGCAGACAGAAGCAAAGCATGTGGGAAGAGTCCTAATTGCTTGAGTTCAACTCAAAAGTTGTCCAGATGCCAAGAACAGCAACCAGCCAGGTAGGTGGCTGGCGGTGGTGCCAGGTGTCCAAAGTGAAGGCTTAACGGCGGGATATTTTCCTCTCCAGCCATAAGGTGTTCACTTCCACATTGGAAGCAAACCTGGGCACAAGCATGCACCCCGCCCCCCAGACTCACAGGCACTGGGAGACCCCCTGGGTCCAAGTTCACGTCAGAGCTTTTATTGCCTGGAAAGTCCTTCCTCACTGGCAAATACAAATCCCCAGCTTCCTTTGAAGCTCAACTCAAGACAGCGCTCCTCTCAACAGACACCTAAAGCATCAGCTCCATCCCTCCCGCGACCACTTTTCCCCAAATTTGAACCTCCTCTGCACTTCCAGGCTATCTGTAGCATCCTTGCAAGCAATCTAAATCACTTACCGTGCACCTGCAACACCCCAGATAGCATGCTTGGCCAGAAGGATCTAAAGATGAATAAGATCAAGTCCTTGAACTTGAGTGGCTGAGAGTTTAGACTTTCTGTGCTAGTGCACCTGAGACGTCACCTGGCTTGGCTATCGTTTTTATGTGTTTTGTCTTCAATTAAATGATCTCCCACCCCCTGAAAACTGCTAATTGGCCTTGTTTTAGACAGGCTGGGATGCCCCCTGAATGCTGGGAGGGGCAAGCCAGAGCCTCTTCTGGAGAAGGACTAACACACTGAGGGCCAGCAGGCTGCCCAGATGGGGCCCCGGAGTAGGTGAAATGAAGAGAAAGGAAAGAACTCAACTCATATGCGATTGGTGATCCCTGAGCCAAGAAGTAGGGAACTGGGAAATATTCTTTTCAACTCATGTTTCACATTCAACTGTCAGGGACCTTAAGCATCCAAAGTTAGAAGTGTCTCCAGGCTCCTCGGTAATGAAAGAGGTCAGGACTCTGTTGGCAATCCCATAGCTGGAATAAAGAATTTCCAGGTTGTAATGAACAAGACACACCAGCCCCTTTCCAAGACCACACCCCCCCTCAGCGGGCTCTGACCTACCAGGTGCTCACTGTTTGACGTGCTGGGCTGGGTGGAGGGTGTCTCTGCCCCCAGGAGCCCCAGGGAGTGGGACGGTGGAGCAGACACACACACACACACACACACACACACACACACACACACACACACACACACACACAGAGAGATGGTGATTCTCCCTCCCGGGGGGGTAGCCCTCCAGGCAGAGCCATTGTCCCTACTGCCCAGTCTATGCACTATAATTGTGCGTGTGAAGGAGAGTGCTCCCTGGGGGTAGGAGCCTTGGAAGGTGAGGCCTTGCTCTTCACCCAGAGGAAAGCAGCCTGCAGCAGGAGAGGTGGCACCCCTTCATGGACAGGAGTGGTGACGGGGGCTGGACTAGCCTGCCCTTCTCCCCGCTCCCAGTGCCGGCGGCCCCGGGCGGCCAGCCTCACCCTGCTCTGCCAGCAGTTCTGTGAAATGCTCGTATGGAGAAGTTTTGATGAAAAACGGAATCTGCCAGGTGAAGTCAGAGGCATTAAGTATGTGCTAGAAAGACCTTATGGAAAACAGACCAGGAGGAGCCGGCAGGTTATCTGGATTCGTGGGACCAGGCGCTGTGGAGCAGGAGCGTCTGGGGGACAGCTGGAGTCTGAGCAGAGGCGGCGTGGGCTGCGGGAGCGAGGGCGCCGTGCCTGCCCTCCTCCCAGCTACTCCGGGAACAGGGCCCTTCTCAGGGTAATGACATTTTAATCAGAAAAATGAAGTGAAGAGTCATGGGGTGGAGAACACATGGTCTGGTCGGCTTCGTCTTGGGAGAAAGCCCAGGGAAAGGTTTGGGCACGTCTGTGCAGCCAAGCATGAGGTCGCGAAGGGGTCAGATCAGGTTGCGCTGGGCTGAGCGCGTCTGCTCGGGGACTTCTCGGGGCGGGGGAGCACTGCCAACCCACTGTACCTCCCACAGTCTGTGTAAGCAAATCAAATGTTTGGGCTCCACAGTGCCTGGCGTTGTCTGGTGCCCCAGAAGGAAATGACCGTGCAGAGAGGGGGTTCAGCAGACCCAGCAGCCTTCCAGCAAATCTCCCTTTTTGCCTACAAGGATTCCTGCCACTTGCAAACGGAAGAATTCTGATTGGGGTAGGGAGGTAACATCGCAGGGGTCAAGGTGGCATGAAGCAGCCTGGTCCACGGTGGGAGTGCTGTCAGTCCAGCAAGAGGAACCCCCTCGAGATGGGGCCATGGAAAGACTTCACAGAAGTCAGCCATTGTAGGTACGACTACAGGACACTAACCGTGTGCCGGGCAAGTGCAAGTGTTTTACGTGGATCCGTTCACCAGCCCTCCGCCAGGAGAGCATCAGTGTACCCATTCTCTAGACCAGAATCTTGAAGTCCAAGATAGCTAAGACACTGCTCTGAGGTCTCAGAACTTGGAAATGGGAGAGGCAGATGCAGCCCAGGCAGTCTGGTTCCTGATCTTGGATTCTCAAAGGCTGCCCTGTGCTGCCTGCCAGATGTGAATTACACACATGGGCACCAAGAGAGCTTTTTCTGGAACTTGACAGGGGGCTTTGGTTACTAGAAAGAAGACTAGGTGGGGGAAGAGGAAAGATGCTGACTTTCCTACCATGCCCAGGTCTGCTGCGACTGTCCCGGTGGTGGCTGGATCAGCAATGCAGGTCCCCGCTGAACACCCTGGGGTGTCTCTTGGGGCAGCACCCTGAAAGTCTACACCGCTGGCTGCAGCTGCTCCCGATGCACCCCCCCTCAGGGTGGGGCTGGGGCTGGGCAGGGTCCTGTTCATCACTGGGCTTCAGGCACTGGATCAGGAGTCTCCAGGCCTTGGTGTGACCACCTTTCCAGGCCTGGAGCTGGGCCACGGCATGGTGAGCCTTGGCTGCCCACTCCCACCAAAGCCAGTCCTCTGGGTGTTCTTGGAGCACACGGACCCTCTGGGCCACCTCCTTGGTGAGGATGAGAATACTCTCCAGAGCCTTCTGTCTTCCTGGCAGGTCTTCCTGGCAGGACCCAGACTCCTGACCTGCCAAGATTCCCTGCACAGCTTGGATACCAGACACCATTCTTTCCAGGGAGATTTCTGGCCGGTTCTGGGGGTCTTTGTAGGCAGAGAGCTTTGGGCACAAGGCATCTTGGAGGGCATGTTCATAGTCTGCATTGATACTGCCAAGGTGGCCAGTCAGGGCCTTGGCATGAAGGGTGAGTTCTAAGCAGAGAAGTTCAAAGCGAGTAGACAGGCTGGGGGATGGTTTGGGGGAGGAAGCCAGAATCGGTGCCACATCCAGCACAGCGTCTGTGAGCACATGGACTTCCCTGCACAGAAAGGAGATCTCACCCTTTGCCTGCTCATCCCCACACAAAAGGCAAGACAGCTTGGCAGCTTCTTGAAGCCTCTGAGAAACATCTGCTGCCTGAGCCAACCCTTCCTGCAGCCCCTGCTGGTCCTTCACAGCCTGTCTCAGGGGCAGCAGGAACAGGCCTTGTCCCCCGCTGAGCCTCTCCAGGCAGAGGAGCAGGTCTTGAACAGCCACCGACCACAGAAGGCAGCCGTCCTCAATGCTCTCTTCCCATGACCTAGGGGCTTGGAGACCACCAGAGGCCAGAACCTTGTCTAAAAGCTGTTTAGCATGGGTCTCCACCTCCTCCAACCTGCCTTGCATTTGTAAATGTGCTTCTGCGAGCCCAGTTGAGTCAGAATCCTTTTTACCCAAATCCATGGGCCCACTTTTGGCTGCTAGTTGGACCATTGAGGCTAAATTCTGCTGAAGCTCCATGAACACTGCTGTGTTCCCTGGAAGATCAGCTGCTGGGTTGTTGCAAAATAGCTGCTGACACAGAGAATACCAGTCACCAGCTATGACCACCAAACCTTGCCTGGTGTCCCTGGTTCTCCCAGACAGTTGGAGAGTTACTTCCAGAGGCCTATCAGTTCTGGCAGTCGTGCAATGTTCTGTCTCCCTTGCTAGATCAATAATAGAAGGTGCCAGTGATGGGATTTCCTGGAGTTCAATTACTCTCTCTGAGACCAGTGGTCCCTCTCCAGCCAGGGCCTCCTGAGCTGCATTCATAGCTGCATCCTGTTCCTGCAGGATGAATTGAGCTGAGGTCACTCCCCGGTGGCTCTGGGTCTCTACAGCAAGGATGGGTTTGTTGGTGGCAGGAGGTGGAGAGCCCCCTCTCTGTGGATGGGTGTCAAGAATCAAGGGATAGGAAGGATGGTCCCTTGGTGGATAGGAGGTGCCTGGATCATTTTCCCCCAACCCAGGCTTCCTCTGGTGTTTCAGTTCAGGAACTGTGCAGTCCTGGAGGCAGGGGAGAATGAAAGAAGTCTGTCTCTTAGCCATGCCAGACCTTTGGACTTGGTCCCGGAGGGGGCTGAGGATTTCTGGGTGGTTAGTCCCGTCCAGCCCATCTTGGATGCTCTGAGCTGAAAAGATCAGATGTCTTGCCATGGTTAAAAGTGCACCTGAGTCCTGAGAGCTGTGCCCACCTGAACAGTGCTGGGCAGCTGCACCCAGGACCAGGGAGGATTGCTCCAGCTGCTGGATCAAGACTCTCAGGCCATTTCGGAAAATGGGATCTCGATCTTGGTCCACATACCTGCTAATCACCTGCGCTATGTGGGTTGCTCGACCCTGTAAATACGCCACCAGTGGAGAACACTCTCTGGAATCTCCACTCCTCAAAGTCCATGTAAAAAGGTCCAAGCGTTTGGTCATTTCCTGAACCGACACACTCAGGAACTCAGGAATATTGAGAACATCATCAAAACATGCTAATAAGCCTTCAGACGCCCTGGCCCACTCCTGAAGCAGGGCCTGCAGGGTAGCAGGGCTCCAGTCCAGACCAGACCCTTGGGGACTTTGTGAGAAAAGCTGCTGCACTCTGACCACAAGCCCCCAAAGGCCGACCATGGTCGCCTCTATGTCTTTGCCAGTCTGTCGTCGGGGGCAGCAAACCAAGACCAAATGAGCCACACTGAGCATCTGCTTGGCCTGGTCATGGAAAGCAGCGAGGAGACGCTGGAGGCGCTCAGGCAAGGCCTCGCCATCGCACGGGGAGGAGACTGGGGATGTCGCCCAGGCAGCTTGGACCAGCCTTTGAAGAGGACTTTGCGTGTCGGTGAACGTGTCCAGGATCT